CTTGGTGAGTCGGTTGACTGCATGTCACCGTATACACGGTCTAGTTTTCACAGTGCGGCATTACACGTCAGTCATCTGAACAACAAACTATGAAAACTACATCATGAAAAGATTCATCCTAGGAGGAGTCTGCGACGCTCCAAAGAATGCTGAAAACATGATGACAAATGACATGTATTTTTCACATCATTATTAGTTGTACGAATGTGTGAAGCCCATTTCTGGTGTCCCCCCGCCGTGATAATGCTGGAATATTGCTAAAAGCGGCGTAAAACCCATCTCACTCACTCACTCATTTGTTGTACTTCTCGCGTAATTCCAGATGCAATATGTATTTTGTTCCCCACCGTGGTATTGCTGGAATGTTGTTAAAAGCGACGTAAAACCTCACTCACTCGAGCTCACTCACGGACTCACCGTTTTCCTGGACCCCAGCAGGTAGGGCCACGCCAAGCTGTTCTCACTTTTATTGTAGAGATAAAGTGATAAACCCACTTTGTATTGATATAGGATGTTGTCTGCCTTGTTTTATAGTGTCTTGATCTACAGCTACGCTCTGCATTATGGCGAACTCTTGTTAACCATGCTGTTTGAACGAGTACTGTCATATGCAAGTAGGTCAACTGTTTTAGCCCGGAACCAGACACAGTTGGAAATACACATTAAAACATATCACTCAGGGTCAAGATTAATTCTTGACCAGTTCAAAATATTGGCACACAAACACATAGTTGTTTTTCTAAAAAAATATTTATTGAAATAAATTAACCGTCCGCATAGCTAAGCATACTTGCACTGCGTTGATTCAAATATGTTATCTCTGGGAAATCAAAGCTACCGGTATGTTTTTGCACATCAACATGTCATGAATCGTTGTTCACGGCGACTGTGCTAATGACAAATAGGAACACTATCTCAACCTGTAGGGAGGGGACACGGCGACTGTGCTAATGACAAATAGGAGGACTATCTCAACCTGTGGGAGGGGACACGGCCCTGCGCGCAAATGAGGTACAGTTGGTTTTATCATGCTACCGTTGTTGTGTCTGGCTTACATAAATGTACGTAGAAATAGATATTATATATCTAGGTAAGATGTTGTGACGAAGTTCACGTGACACATACCAGTACGTGACACAAACATGTGGTAATATTTCCATTTCGAACTTATTCATTGTAACACTGGTGTTTTGAAAAGGGAAAAGTGAACTTAACTGGATACCTGAGGTTATTCTCACTAAGTCGAATATGAATCAGGCATTTTGAAGGTTCACGCTAGAAGAAGTTTGGCTGATGTACTTTCAGGGTATGCATGACATTTTATTGATGTCTTTACTTCTTTGATGATATCGTGAAGTGAATTAATGACAGTGAATGTTTGATGATATCGTGAAGTGAATTAACGATGTCAGTTAATGTTTGATGATATCGTGAAGTGAATGTTTGATGATATCGTGAATGTTGATGATATCGTGAAGAATGATGTAATGTTTGATGATATCGTGAAGTGAATTAATGACAAGTGAATGTTTGATGATATCGTGAAGTGAATTAATGACAGTGAATGTTTGATGATATCGTGAAGTGAATTAACGATGTGATATCAAGTGTTAATGATGTCAGTTAATGTTTGATGATATCGTGAAGTGAATTAATGACAGTGAATGTTTGATGATATCGTGAAGTGAATTAACGATGTCAGTTAATGTTTGATGATATCGTGAAGTGAATTAACGATGTCAGTTAATGTTTGATGATATCGTGAAGTGAATTAACGATGTCAGTTAATGTTTGATGATATCGTGAAGTGAATTGCTTGATGATATCGTGAAGTGAATTAACGATGTCAGTTAATGTTTGATGATATCGTGAATTAATGAATTAATTCTTTGATGATGTCAGTTAATGTTTGATGATATCGTGAAGTGAATTAACGACTTCTTTGATGATATCGTGAAGTGAATTAATGACAGTGAATGTTTGATGATATCGTGAAGTGAATTAACGATGTCAGTTAATGTTTGATGATATCGTGAAGTGAATTAATGACAGTCAGTGAATGTTTGATGATATCGTGAAGTGAATTAACGATGTCAGTTAATGTTTGATGATATCGTGAAGTGAATTAATGATGTCTTTAATTCTTTGATGATATCGTAAGTGAACTGACGATGTCAGTTAATGTTTGATAATATCGCGTAGTGAATTAATGATGTCTTTAATTCTTTGATGATATCGTGAAGTGAATTAATGACAGTGAATGTTTGATGATATCGTGGAAGTGAATTAACGATGTCAGTTAATGTTTGATGATATCGTGAAGTGAATTAACGATGGTTTTATATCGCGAAGCTTTTGATGTCAATAATTCCAGATGATATCGTGAAGTGAACTGACGATGTCCGTTTGTTAATATGTGAAGCTTCATGATGTTTTAATTCTTTGATGATATCGTGAAGTGAATTAATGACAGTGAATGTTTGATGACATCGTGAATTAATTTTCATGATTTCCGTAGTGTATTAATGATATAAATTTATTGTATGCTGAAAACAATTAATCGCCCTTGTACCCCAGTAACATAATGAAATCATTTGATCACATCGCAAATTTATTATACACTAATATTTCTATTATATATATTGATGTACAACAAATCTGTCACATATATCAATACTACAGGTTCAGATGTCAACAACAGCATAAGGCCTGCCATATTCAACCGAACAAGGACCGAGGAAGTCCACACTTCAGCAGTACAAAGTCCATACTGCTCCTCTCTGGGTCCATAAATACTTGCATTGATTTCATACTTCAGCCCACTGTTTTGTACTAAGTTAACAAACCAGGTATATGATATGAGACTATATCATGCACAACATTCCTTTTCAGGTGTTAGGTGTCAGATGTTAGGTGTTCCAGTTACCATAATCGTGTGATTACTATCGTGAACACCACAGCTGGGTTAGGCATTCTATTAATTCTAGCAATTCAAGTCAATACCCTCACCATCTGCTTGTTTGTTGTCTGACGAAACACGCAAACAATATTACAAATACATGTCAACGCGTGCTATTTATGATACTAGTAATCGAGTATTGATCAGGTAATACAATGAATGACAATGCAATATTGACCGGATTAAAAGTCGGTATACGTTCCCGCTGTTAGGCCATTAGTTATGTCGGTATTTTCTAATATAAAAAATAACAGGTTATTCTGTCATTTAACAGCAGTTATTGATATTGGTGACATCAGCTGAATTATTGATTTTATGACTAACTAATTATTGATTTTATGACTAACTTGGTGATCAAGATCTGAATTGCTGATGCTATAATGTCATGAATATGAAACAAACTACTGATATGAAATACATCATAGGTAGTAGTAATACTCCACTAATTAAAGAAAAGAAATATGATTGAAGTAATTGTGTAATCAAATGATATAGAAATAATCCTGCCAACATTTGATTAATATTACAAAACTGAAACAACTAGATACCGAGACAAGACAATGTATTCTCTAAAAAGGCTAATGGTCCAAAATACGCGGCAATATAGAAGTTACATTTGTTAGCCTTACAATTAATAGATACCATGAGAAGAAAAATGAGGATGTAATTTGTAATCTTGTTTGTAGGAGGCAGATAAATATATGGAAATATACACACATCTCAGACACGTATCTCATTCATCGCTTTATGAAGATCGTGCTTTAAGTGTTGTTCAACGTTTTTCTTATGTTTTGCACATTAAATGGGTATAGGCAGAGATCAAGTGATGATTATGTGTTTGGTCATTATACTTGTGAATGTGTATGCTGCACTACCGTTAGGGATGTATTATCTGACGTATGTATTTCTACCAGAGATAGATCAGTTTCATCTTCTATCGTGTTCTGACCCGTGAAGATCCGGGGTAGAATAGGTCTTCAGCAACCCATGTGCTTGCCATAAAAGGCGACTATGCTTGTCGTAAGAGGCGACTAACGGGATCGGGTGGTCAGGCTCGCTGACTTGGTTTGACACATGACATCGTACCCCAACTGCGTAGATCGATATTCATGCTGTTGATCACTGGATTGTCTGGTCCAGACTCGATTATTTACAGACCGCCACCATATAACTGGGATATTGCTGAGTGCGGCGTAAAACTAAACTCACTCACTCACTCACTCATTCTATCGTGTTCTCATTAAGCCTACAGTCAGGGCATAATCTGAAACATTACTACATCCTCTTGCCTCTATGATCTGTCTGAAATTACCACATCTAAATGTTGTGAAACATATTCTGTATCAACACACACATATTTATCCGCGTGTAAAATTGTCTTATATAAAATACAATTATACACAATTTGAACTATTTGAGAAGTTTGCAGCTTGATACCAAACGTGATAAAAACGCTCTACAGTATGACCGGCCAGTTTCAATCTATTCAGAGGCGGTTGGGTAGCCGAGTGGTTAAAGTGTTTGATCGTGACGCCGAAGGCCCGGGTTCGATTCCCCACATGAGTACAATGTATGAAGCCCACTTCTGGGGTCCCCCGCCGTGATATTGCTGTAATATTGTTAAAAGCGGCGTAAAACTAAACCCACTCACTCACTCACCCGGGTCTTCGGCGTGACGAACGAACACTTAAACCACTAGGCTACGCCACCGCCACCGCCACACACACACACCAACGTCTTTGAAAAACGTGATCTCTTTTCGTACTCTTCACGCTTCACCTGTATATGCCCAGCATGGACGAAATGTCTACCTCCATATGAATGCCGACTGAACCTGATACAGGCATTGCCTACAGCGCTTTGGGGACAGTGGAGGTAGCTGAGTGGTTAAAGCGTCTGCTCGTCACCCCGAACACTCCTGTCACGCAGCGTAAAACTAAACCCACTAACACTCACTACAACGCGTTGCCACAGGCTACAACTGGAAAATCGGAGTACCGTGTCCATGAATCGATTATAATCTGATTAGTCTAGCGACAAAGAAGTTGTGCATTACTGTAGCACGGATCATATCCCGTCATAGCATTAAGTAAGTATTCCAATAGATTTAAGCCGACAGTCAGCCAAGCATTGCTCTTGGTGATATTAAACCAGTCTGTTTCTAACAACACCAACATTGGTCCGAGAAGGAATGTGGGGCAGATTGGATACTGACCCCTCCCCTGCTTTCTGTAGATCGGGATACTGTCCAGGTAGGTTTGTTTGTATTTTATTACCAAAGGCATGACTCGTGAATATTTGAGAGCGTATTGAGACAAACTCTTGTAAATAATTGTGTCCAGGCCAGACACATCTTTGGCAAATATTTATGACATCGAACAAGTCAGCAGTCAGATAACCTGATTCAATTACGTTTTTGGGCACCTGCTCTGAACCAATTCCTGGTGTGGTGTGAGATGCACATCTGGATCATAACGAATAGGGCATATTCAAGCATTTCCTCTTGTGAGATAAACGTTGTATAAGGCGTATATTTGTGATGGTATAAGGCACGTATCTCTGATCCAAACATTTCGCCGTAATATAAGGTGCTGCTTCGACGTTAAGCATATAATACTCACTCACTGACTCATATTGTTTCTCTCGCTCATTCTGGGGCGGTGGGGTAGCCTAGTGGTTAAAGCGTTCGCTCGTCCGAAGACCCAGGTTCGACTCCCCACATGGGTACAATGTGTTAAGCCCATTTCTGGTGTCCCCCGCCGTGATATTGCTGGAATATTGCTAAAAGCGGCGTAAAACTAAACTCAGTCAGTCAGTCTCGCTCATTCTCTTTTATTGGAGTGGTGGTGTAGCCAAGTGGTTAAAGCGTTCGCTCGTCCGAAGACCCAGGTTCGACTCCCCACATGGGTACAATGTGTTAAGCCCATTTCTGGTGTCCCCCGCCGTGATGTTGCTGGAATATTACCAAAAGCCGCGTAAAACTAAACTCACTCACATATTATGTTTTATTAAAAACATACTATTTATGACGTATTGTTTTTGCAGGCATGAACCAACTGACAGCTAGAAGACACCGATCGAGGCTGAGGTCATTCATATTCTATTTCATCGTCATTGTCATCACCAACGTTGTTTTGCTGTCGTCGCTGTCTACTCTACTCAGGCCAACAAAGGAGATGTGGTTACCAAAGTTTCGGAGGAAAGCTACCCTTAAACACGGGTCCTATGTCCAGAAATTCCCCCAAACCAGAACCAACTTGAACAGAACATTGCACATCCTGCTCTGGACGCCATTGTTTGGTGACCCGTCATGGGCTTTCGACCTGAAGAAGGGAATGGCGTCGTGCCCAGTGTCGGACTGTGTGTTGACCAGCGATAAGTCCACCATAGCTCACAGTCACGCTGTGGTGTTTCATGCCATGGATTTATTGAATTATTTCATAGGATACCCCATGCCAGAATATCGTAGGACAGACCAAGTGTGGGTTTTGTATAACATCGAACCGCCTCCTAACATTGCCAAAGACTTCCGGTCGTACGGGGGCGTGTTCAATTGGACGCTGATGTACAGGGCGGACAGCGACATACAGCTGCCGTATTTCCAAATAGAGAAGCTGCCCCAGAAACTGACCCAAGTAAAGGACATTGCTGCCACAAAAACAGCAGGGGTCTACTGGGTGGCCAGTAACTGTGGTGACCAAGCAAGACGACAGATGGTAGTGAGAGAATTACAGAAACACATCCAAGTAGATACGTATGGGAAATGTGGGGATTATGAATTGAATAACATGGCTGACACAAAGCATTACAAATTTTATATGGCTTTAGAAAATTCTTATTGCCGTGACTATATCACTGAAAAGTTTACGGGTCCCCTTCGCCACGAACAGATCCCTATTGTTGCTGGGGGCGGGGACTACAGTAAGGTGGCGCCCCCGCACTCCTTCATTGACGTCAGCGACTTCAACACCATCCAGGAGCTGGCAGAGTACCTCAGGTATCTGGACAAGAATGACACTGCTTATAACAGTTATTTTGACTGGCACCGAGAATATCACATGGTCAGGACTTATCAAATGGAGAATTTATTTTGTGACCTGTGTGAAGCTGTCCATGACGAGACCCGCCCACATCAGACTTACACGGACATACAGGGATATATAGAGGACGACACATGCCAGCAATGGACGGTAAGTGTTCTACATAGACGGTAGGTGGTTTGTATATACGGTAAGTGTTCTGTATAGACGGTAGGTGTTCTAATTAGACGGTAGGTGTTCTAAATAGACGGTAGGTGTTCTGTATAGAGGGTAAGTGTTCTAAATAGAGGGTAGGTGTTCTGTATAGACGGTAGGTGTTCTAAGTAGACGCTAGGTGTTCTACATAGACGGTAGGTGTTCTAAATAGACGGTAGGTGTTCTGTATAGAGGGTAAGTGTTCTAAATAGATGGTATGTGTTCTGTATAGACGGTAGGTGTTCTAAATAGACGGTAGGTGTTCTATATAGACTGCAGGTGTTCTATATAGACGGTAGGTGTTCTAAATAGACGGTAGGTGTTCTAAATAGATGGTATGTGTTCTAAATAGACGGTACGTGTTCTACATAGACGGTAAGTGTTCTATATAGACTGCAGGTGCATATATAGACGGTAGCTGTTCTACATTACCTGTTACATAGACCACTGGGGTTCCGTATCCGTAGTCGGCGTTCAACACGGGTATTCTGCAGAAAAAGCAGGTGCCCTAAATTGCACATGCATGGTTGGCGTTCTGTAAAGCCCTACTACACGAGACCTATAGTTAATTCCTTTCCCTCTTGTTAAGGAATATAGAGGCCCTCTGACCTTCACCTTCAACCGTTCCTCAGAGTTCATAGATACTCTGTTAATGGTTAGCTTAACATACCGATATTGTAGCCCGGCTATTGCCACACATCATGGTACACTAAAGAGAGTTAAAAACGTGGGATTCACCCAAGTATGATCTGTTGATTGTTGATAAGACGTGGGGTACAGAATATCACCCGATGGACACCGTATGCGACCAATATCTCGTTACCTCACTACTATCAACAGACTCGCTGTCAGATCCCTGAAATACCATTCTTTGGGACTCATTGCCACGAGTGAGGCGAAAATTGTATACACGTCTGTTTAGCATTATTCCAGCAATATCACGACATTGGACACCAGTAATGGGCTTCACTCGTTATACACATGCGAGGAATCGAACCCGGGTCGAGCGGACACTGTAACCATTAGGCTACCCCCCACCCACGGATTCCTGAACACACTGATGAGTCGTGCAATGGTTGTGTTCATATACCCATTTAGAAAATTATATGTAATAATTTGTAGCGTAGAGAAGGATTCAGCATTTTCCTGTTTATAACATATAGTTCCTTATCTGCATATTGATATGGTGTACTGCTTCAGCTTGCAGGGTACGCTTCCAGAATGGTGCAGGGATACGCCATTAGACTCGGCCTTGTCTGAAGGTCGCCCGTCGGCTGACTCCGTCACGATCACAATCGGATTTGTTCGGGAGAGTTCGTCATCGGATTCATCAGATCAACTATCTGGACAGAAGTGAGGTGCCCATAGTGGAAAGACATATATTGATGATTTGAAACAGCGATACAGTACTGTTGTATCAATGTACCGGTGTCAACCAGCCTCATTGGTCGTCCTTCTCCGTATATTCATCACAGCTCGTGTCACCTCGGCACAAGCCGAATGTCAACATGCGGGAATTCCCGAATGATTACGGAAACAAAAGAGAGGTTCGCAAAGTGTGCCAACACTTAAGTCTTTGGCTTGTGACTCACGATATTTGTTATTAATCATGTTGCACTTTCACGCCAAAATTGATAAATCTCACGTCAAAGAGAGACACGAGAACTCAGTGAGTGTGTGAGTGAGTGAGTGAGTGAGAGAGGAGAGTGAGTGAGTGAGTGAACGTATTTATCAACCACCTGTTATCAACCTGTAACTATCTGGTTACTAACGGTGCGACGCCTGATAAACACTCGAAGTTCATAAAATCCTTATAGGTGCCTTATCATCACACTCACTGCAAGGCAGAATTCCAATAACACTATGTCCCTTGTTTTCATTTCAATATGGTGTTTATATATTTTTTAGTGACATTGGTCTTTTAAATGTAAGGTCTAATAACTCGTTTTATATTTGTTATTATATATTTATTTTTTTACATCCCACCGAGATTCAAGTATTGTTCACGCCTGTACGAGGGGCGTTTAAAAAGTAGTCAGCCTCACCTAGAAATGATACAAATACAGCTGTTTTTATGTTTTATTTTTCTACATACATGTATTTATCTGTCAACCTCAAGCAAATTGGTTTTGCTATGTTTCAGCCTCACGAGCCCCATTTTGTTTGACGTTTTGTCATGGTACCCCCAAAAACGCAAAATCTGCAATACATGCATCACAAACTTCAGGAAACAAAATAAGCAAGAAACATTTTATGTTTGAGATAGGCAGAAGTCCGGTGGAATCAAACTTCGATATTAAAGTGCATAAAAAAGCAATTTGAAACTACAATCGCTTGTTAAAATGACTCCCCCCATGATGTTTACTGAAAGAGCTTGTTTTGGAGACACTACCCACCCCCTTTCAGATGACGTTATCATAAGGACATAACTTATTCTAATGTTTTCACGTATTCATACATGACGCCAAGGATTCAAACTAAATACTGAATGGTCGCACAAATGTCAGGTCTCAATATATTGCAAACAGTGCCAGCTTGAATATCTGGACACAATGTTTTTGAAAAATTAAAATAAGGGGGTGTCCTTTAAAACACAACCCCCATCTAAATATAAATCAAGCAATCCAAATCTTTGAATGCTGATTATGACGGGAAGTCATCCAATACTATACTGAACAGATTTTACATGATATTATCTGAGGGCATACCATTATCCAGGAGGTACCAAATGACAGATCGTTTAAGAAATATCATATGTGATGACTAATATCTCGTTAACCACATTACCCACATATGTGAAATTTTGGCTTTGGCTTTGGTAATGATTCCTTCAAAATAGACTGGAAGCTTTTCAAACATTGGACCACGAAAATATAGTTAGACTGACTACTTTTCGAACGCCCCTCGTATGTAGACATGTTACAGTACTTTCAATCAAAGTTTGTTTAAATAGTTTAGTCAATTTACAAATTGACTGAAAATGACTGTTCATATGTATTTTTATGTTATCATATTCAAAATATATTCTATATTCAGTGACTACACCGATATATTATTAAAAGAAATCGAAAGTTAATGTATATTTTCCCCTTCTAAACGTAGCATCAGGGTTCTGTTGCGACGTTTAGAACCCGTTAGAATGTTTTAATATCTTTCCAGTGAATCCTCCAAATTAAGGGACAGGATTTTGTCAATTTTTATAGTGGCTGGATTATTTAGATAAAATGTAAACTGCCAAAGTGATCATGACTCACATTTTACACATTGACCGACTTTATAATTTGATGAATTTTACATTATTGACTGTAAATTATATATGTGATTAATAAATCACCGCTATTCGCTGTACAGAGTTGTCTCCCTTCGGCACCCAATATGTTGTGTTCGAATCCCGTTTCAGAAGGATTATTGTATTTGTGTTTTCCGAGCCATACATATTTGTGTTTTGCCAGTGTGGTAAGCATCTGTGACCAGCCTCTCACATGGAACTCAGTCATGTAATATGACACAAGCATAGTCGAGTCTTAGTTTCGACAAAACGTATTCGTTCTTGACCTGACAAGCATGCGTTTCGGACGTGAAATGAACGAATGGTAGTTGAGTCAAAACATTTTTGTCAAAAACATTTTTCCTGACTTGCATCCAGGACGAACTGAATGAGACCACCTGTCATGTTGCTATTCAACGCACGGGTGTTGTCAATCTGTCTCATTGTACCTAAACCACATTATTTTCCCTACTGTCTAGTCCTCTCTGCAAAGCCCTAAATGAAGCAAGTCTAGATTTCTCCAGGTCCGAATCTCTGATCTCCCTGGGGCTCCTTTTCAATTTAAATGGGTTTATTTGTTACAATCAAAACTATATATCAGAGACTAAGCGTTAGTCTAGGGTGTTGTGTGTTTGTGAGTGTGGGCTCGTGAGGGACAACTCAACTTGGCGCCGTACACGGAGCGAGTAATGCTGTCATGATGCGGTATACGGCGGCGAGGAGTAGAACTGGACCCCGTTGCCATAGCAACTTGAGGTTACTATCGTCGTCGGGTTACCACCACTTCGAGGGAGGAAACCGTGATAAAGAGTTGTATTCTCACCGATCTATTTCAAAATTCTCTTCTCGCCTCCGTACCGATCGTGTTCATGAAAACTAGGCTGAATTATAGAGGCGATACGGTGTATGGTTTATCAATTATGTACTACACATCCAGCCTACGCCATTGAGTACGTGACAAGGCAGTGAGTGCCGTGACAGTTTATTTCCGTGTTGTGATTGATGACAATATCAATAATTTACGTGTTATGTTTTTAACGGAAATGGTCGGATCGCCGAGGGATTATGCTACTGTCGCTTGTTTGTACATGTATAATTTCATCTTGTTCCACAGACCTGTCCTCGAAGTGTTTGGCCGACTGGTGATATTGTACCTCATGCATGGCACTGGCAATTGGAAACGTGTATAGCGAACAGGAAATGGTTAATCAATATTGATTCGGTATCAGTGTCTACTGCTTCTAACTGATATGACCTTTATGAGAATGCATTAAACACCTCTACAACGAGATGGTATCCACAGTAACTGTCACCGAGTTCCAGGTGGACGGCCATGGATCACTCTTACTGCCACTCCTTCTCCTCCATCTTCTCCACCTACTCCTTCACGTGATTCGCCTCGTCCGCCTACATTTCTGCTATACACATCCTTCTTCTCCCTCCCTTCCTCCTACTTCTTCTCCTACTTCTCTCCTCCTACGTCTCTCCTTTTCTAATTATGTTTCTTCTTTTCCTCCTCCTCGCACTACTACTACTACTACCACTGCACTGCCACTACTACTACACCACCACCACTACTACTACTACTACTACTACTACTACTACTACTACTACTACTACTACCACTACTGCTACTACTACCACTACTACTACTACTACTACTACTGCTACTACTACTACTACTACCACTACTACTACTACCACCACTACTACTACTACCACTACCACTACTACTACACCACTCCACTACCACTACTCACTACTACTACCACTACCACTACCACCACCACCACCACCACTACCACTACTACTACCACCACTACCACTACTACTACCACTACTACTACCACTACTACCACTACTGCCACTACTACTACCACCACTACTACTACTACTACTACCACTCACTACTCACTACTACTACTACTACTCACTACTACACTACCACTACTACTACCACCACCACTACTACTACCACTACTACTCACCACTACTACTACTCACCACTACTACTACTACTACTACTACCACTCACTACTACCACTACTACTACTACTACACTACTCTCTCACTACTACTCACCACTACTACTACTACCACCACCACCACTACTACTCACTACTACTACCACCACCACTACCACTCACCACTTCACTCACTCACTACACCACTACTACTACTACCACCACTACTACACTCACTACTACTACTACTACTCACCACCACTACTACCACTACTCACTACCACTACCACTACCACCACTCACTCACTACTCACTACCACTTACTACTACTCACTACTACTCACCACTACCACTACCACTCACTACTACCACCACTACTACACCACTCACCTACCACTCACTCCACCACTACTCACCACTCACCACCACCACCACCACCACTACTCACCACCACTACCACCACCACCACTCACCACCACTACTCACCACTACCACCACCACTACCACTACTACTCACTACCACCACTACTGCCACTACTACCACTCACCACCACCACCACTACCACTACTCACTACCACTACTCTACTACTCACCACCACTACTACTACTACCACTACCACCACCACCACACCACTCACTCACCACCACTCTACCACCACCACCACTACTCACCACCACCACCACTACTACCACCACCACTACCACTACCACTCACCACTACCTACTCACCACTACCACCACCACTCACCACTACCACTTCACCACCACTCACCACCACCACCACCACCACCACCACCACCACCACCACCACCACCACCACCACCACCACCACTCACCACCACCACCACCACCACTCACCACCACCACCACCACCTACACACACTACACCACCACTACTACCACCACCACTACCACTACCACCACCACTACTCACCACCACACTACTACCACCACCACTACTCACTACTCACTACCACTACCACTCACTCACCACTCACTCCACCACCACTACCACCACCACTACCACTCCACTACCACCACTACCACCACTACTACACACTACTACCACTACCACCACCACCACCACCACCACCACCACTACTACTACCACTCACTACTACTACTACCACTACTACTACTACTCACTACTACTACTACTCACCACTACTCTCACCACTACTTACTACCACCACTACTACACTACTCACTACTACCACTACCACTACTTGCTACTACTACCACTACTACAGTATTTCTCTACTCTACCACTGCTACTACTACAACTACTACTACTACCGGTCTACCTTTACTACCACTACTACTACTACTCTATTACTACTACTACTACTACCAAAACTACAACAGTATGTAACAATTGGGAAGGGTTGGGAGGACCCATGAATGAAAAATCAGCAGCCGTAGTTGCTATGGTTATTGACAAACAACAGTCAGATTCATCTTAAAAGGAAATCTGTAAAGTTACTACAGGGTCTGCAATGTCCAAACTAGCAATAAAATGAAAACAATAATTTATACTGAGTCAAACAAGAAACTTCTGAATTTGAAAAATAATGAATAATTTTCCTCTGATGACTGACTGACTGACTGAGTTTGGTTTTACGCCGCTTTTAGCAATATTCCAGCAATATCACGGCGGGGACACCAGAAATGGGCTTCACTCATTGTACCCATGTGGGGATTCGAACCCGGGTCTTCGGCGTGACGAGCCAACGCTTTAACCATTAGACTACCCCGCCGCCCCTTTCCTCTGATGATACATCTATGTATCCGAAATGGGATCCCTATCTTTCGACTCTAGAAAACGTTAGCAAAACCCACTCAAACCCATCCATTCGTCGCAAATGACGTTAGTGCCAAATCAGGTTTTGCACGTGCAGTCGATCACGTGATCTTCGCATCGAAGTTTTCTTCATATGCACGTGTTTGCATTGGCCTCAAAGAATTGAAAAACACTTTTAAACCACAGTTCTAACGGTA